ACACACACCATGGCAATGCTTTAGTTAGTTACTTCAGCATTCAAGGCTTGTTATTGTTTTAAGACAGTAAATAAAGCTAAGTCATGGCTTTGAAATGCAAGGCAATGAACTATGTGAAGTGCACATTAGTGAAGGAATCAACGTGCAAGGTCACTGTAGTAGACATAGATTCAGATCTGAGAGGGCCAATTAATTGGCCATTTTTGTCAACTCCATTAGCCATTATTAACAGATGAGAGGACTTAAATTTTGATGAGAGCTGACTCATTCATCATTTTTTATATTAGCAAACATGAAATGTGTTTGTGTGTCTTTAAATGATGGTGATTTTATTCAGACTGCTGCAAAGACAAGGACTTGGTGGCTGGTGGAATTGCACGAGTGATTTTTCTTGCAGCATACAAAAAAAAAATGAGCCCCCCCCCCATGTCGGAATATGCTCATCTGTTTCTGAAATGTTCCTTGGCCCACTAACTATATGCACTTTTCTCAGGAGACAGCACATGCCATAGTCATCATCATAACATCTCATTTATCTCCTGGGTCCCTCGTCTTATCTACACTTCATTCGCTTTACTTTCCTTTTCCCCTTAGGGACCTCTTGCCCTCTGGGAACAAGCAGACACCTTTGCATGTGATAATGGAACTGTGGGACGGCTGTAGTGGAGATGTTTCAAAAGGAGGACTGGAATGCATATAGTATGCATCACCTCCAGTAGCCCACATGCTCATGATTTTTCAGCCTGTTATGGTGCCTTGAGCGTGCACATTGCTGAAATGCATTCACTTGTTCATCTTCCAACGTTATATATGCCATCAAATATCAGCAAGGCCCTTCCATTCTCTACACAAAAAAGAATAAATGGACATTAACCCAACATTAAAAACCACAACCCTCAAAAAAACAGGGAGAGTACATTTTAATCTTCCAGGTCATTCTATTACTGACCTAAGAATGGCAGCCCTCAAACAAAGACTCTTCAAGGGGAAATTACAATGCAAGATCGCTGAACTTGGCCAATGTTCCCTCTAAGCTGAGGAGTCTTGGAAGCAAAAATTCTACTTTGTGAGGTAATGACATTACAGTGGTGAGCGAGAGATTTGGCTACTGCATAAGTTAGTTTGCTCTGGAGCCATCCTTCCTAAGCCAAGGCAAAAATGTGTGAGCCAGAGGCTAAAAAACTGTGAGCTAGCTCACACTAACTCAGCTTAGAGGGAACACTGCTTGAGACCATTCACAAGGTCGGGACAATAGACCTCCCCACAGGCTGAATAGAGAAACAGAATTCTTGCCTCACTACAGATGCCAGTTTTATTCCCCAAAGCATTCCCCTCTGCTCTAATCAAGTTGCTTACAATATGTGTTGTACCTTTGCGTCTTGTATGCACATTCTTTACAACATCCCTCCTGCCTTCTGACTGGGATAAAAAACTCAGATCGCCATTCCTACTTATGTCTGTTTAAGGGAGATTTGACTCTTGAAAGCTTGAACATTTTCTTGGTCTTTAAGGCCCTACTGGACTCGGATCTGATTGAAACGAATAGTCCGCCATGGACTGTGCTGTAGTGTGTGATGTTTTCTACACTCGGGATGTCCCAAGTGAAGAGGAAGTAATTCTCCTGAGGGCTGCAAGTACAGGAATATTTACGTGGCCCAGCAACCAGTTCAGAAGTCCTGTACTTTTTGGGGGTACCCCCAAGATCTAGTGAAGTTGATGGACAATAGATTCAGGCCGTACATATGGTCAGTATATTGAACTGAGTGTTCTGTCATGTGAACTGATACAAAGAACCGGTATTCATTGAAATGGTGTGTGGGGCTGTCACTTCAGACTGCTGGTGGGGACTCACACGGTGGATAGTTCTCCAAACAAAACAAATTCCCTCCATATAGAAAACTAGGTGTCAAGGAAATGTGTTCTCCTGGCAAGAGCCATACATATGTCCCCCACCCCACCCCCGAGCATTCCTTTCTTCCACACTGTGTTACAAGCAAAAAGTAACTCTGTCTCTGCTTGGGAAAAAGCCTTGTTGCTTTAATGAGTAAAATAAGCATGAAAGAGATACTTGAGAGAAAGCATTCCTCCAGTCTTTTATTTCCAGCAGAACCTGAGACTTTCTACAGGCCAAGGCATGGTTACCCAGACTTTGTCTTCTTGGGAGCTGGTGTGCCTGGGAGCACGCGGACACGAGTAGATACTCTGGTGGAGCCCTGCAGATTCTCGGCAATGCAAGTGTACAACCCATCATCTACAGCACGGGCTTCATCAATGTAGAGGATGCTCTCAGATTCTTGCTGCACCTGCCCACCACGTCTTGCCAAGTCTGTGCGTTCATGGATATACGGCGGTCTACCAATCTGGAAGTGAAGAACCAAAAATGTTGGAGAAAGTCCTTGTCCCTGGCGGACTCATAGCAGAGGACTTGCTGAGTCAGGTGCACAATAGCATCAGGTGGTACCTCCTGTGCTGCTACGGAGAGGGAATCTGAGTCACATCTGATGCCAGTGACATCATCAGCTCTAGTCAAAGAATGCAATGGAATCTTTCTGACCAGGTACAAGAATTAAAATCACAAGGAGAGCTTCTCACAGTGTGAATCATCAGTGCTAGAGCACTGGAAACAGACATCAGTCAAACGGGCCAAATTGAAGCTTTGCTTCAAGGCATATGCATAAACCTTTACCTTTAAAGGGATAGGTGAGAAAGAACAGGATAGTGTGTCTACATCCCAGCTATTGCAGAATCTGTGTGTCTTGTTTTTCTTTTCTTCATCATTATCATCATTATTATTATATTCAAATTTATATCCCACTCCCGCTCCTCCGAACAGGATTCAGGGCAGCTAACAGCATATAAAATACACCCAGTGAAAACAATATAAAACTACAATAAATAAACTTTAAAGATATAAAATTATTAAAAATCTATCCCCATTAAAATCTATCCACTCTCAAGCAGGGTAGGCTGTGTGGATGGTGAAGACACAGCATAAGCATACCATCTGCCTGGTGGATCACCCAAAGGCTGCCCCAAAAAAGAGCAGCCTTGCATGCCCCGTGGATGGCATGCCCTGTGGAACCTAGGGAAGTCCCGAAAGGCACACACCACTTCATGCCACGTGGTCACACATCTCAACTGCCGTTGAAGCTCATACACTCTCCAAAAGCAGTACATCGTTGCAAAGAGCAGGAAAGAAAGAACAAGGAGGCAATGTGCTGCCATGTTTGCAGCCATCAGGGTGCCAGTGTCCCCATACCTTGCAAAACTTCATAACTGGGCCAGGACTACCTCTGTCTTCCATGTTTAGTTAGCCTTGGATTCAGCTGGGATTGCATGACTCACTAATAGCAACTGAAAAGGTTTTCAGGTTTTACAATGATTGATTGACCAAAAAGGAGATGAACAGAAATATTGTGGCCCATTTGGGGCCACCGTAAAGGAGCGCCCCTCATACGAAATCATCCATAGGAAGGATCAGCATGGACAAGTATTCTGGTAAAAAGTGCCGTCACATCAACAACAAACTGAAAATAATATGAGAAACTGTGCTGGTATATGAATTAGAACTGCCCGACCACTGCATCGGCATGAGGTGGTACAATTTCATGAATGGGCTCTACCTGCTGGGCTTCCAACCCCCCTAGAACTGCCATTTCCTGCTGCCTTTTGGAAGGACCTGCAGCTAGCATGCTTTCATAGAGAGCAAGGGGACTGCAGTTCCTGCCTCTGTTTGCACACTTGGTAAGAGGAGCAGCAGGGCAGTGAGAGGAGGTTACTCAGTGAAGGAGAGGATTCCTTCACGCCTCAGACTCTTGGTTTCTTTGTCACTTCAGTATACTTCATGGCACTCAGCTTGTGTTTTCTGCTCCCAGCTCTCTTGGTCTACAGTCCACCGTCCCAACCTTAGTAAGTGAGGTGAAAACTCTGGCTCCTCCTCTTTCTGTCATGTGACTCTGATGCCATGTGCTAACAGTTTAGTGGTATGGAAATGTTGGAAACTACTGAACTAGAGTAACCCCAAAGTTCCGTTCAAATGTCACAAATAATGGGCACAAACCTAGTTAATTGTTGGCACCGCACGTGGTTAAGATTTAAGGTTACTTGGAAAGAAAATACCTTCAGTTTGATAAAGTTTAATAAAGTGCCCACATTTGAGTGTCACAACAAACTCATTAACAACTTTATCATTTTCCCACAGTGCATGAAGGTAGTGGGTGGAGGTAGATTAATATCCACTTCTGTATTCGGAAAAATATTTTTGTGTAGGCAAACCACATGACCCAATTGCAAAGAGAACATTTTTTTCCCCATTTTATCAAAGAGGTCGACCCAATTATTATTCAGCTTGGCTTTGCATCCCCTCATTTTCTGGTGTCATGGGTCATGTTGGCTTTTTGTTCAGATTTCCAAGGGAAAAATGCCACAGATCAGCAGTGAAGTAAAAGGACCTGAAAGAGTACTATTGTATGGGAACCGCCCCGTCTTTCTTCCCATGCCCACTCACCCCATCTGTACACAGCCCATCACCTACTTGTTGTCCTGGATATTCCCAAGTGAAATCTACAGTAATTTCCGGTTCCCCGAACACTGTGCAAGTGACATTGAAATTGTCTCCAGCCTGAATAGACACTACTGAGGGTCTGATAGCTGGTTTGGGAACCGAGGAGGGATCTGCAGGGTCAAAAATAAAAGAAGAAAAATTTAGCGTGTCAGAGGTTGCCTCCCAACCAATATATATTTAACCAATCTACACTCAATGCCGCCACAAGCACATTGCTAATACTGCCCTTGCTAGTTTCTTACATCAAGGACACTGGCATGGCAAAATTTCACAATTCTTCCAAATGGAGCAGAACAACGGACAGCTGACAGGTATGACGCCACAATCTTTCCAGCCTAGTTCTGCTCCTCAGGGCCAAGCTAAACAAGTCATTGGGAGATCTGTCATTGCAAGTTTGCCTCTTTGAGTGCAAAGCAATTGCAGCAGATCGGAAAAATTGTGCTGAGATTTTTAATCCCTCTCCCCATACATACAAACTTGGAGGAAACATACACACTAATTAGGGGAAAGCATAAAGTTGCCTATTTATTTCCCCCATGGATCAAAAATTAGATTTCAGGGTTATGTGATTTTGATTACGATAATGACAAGAAAGATGACTTAAACACCCTGCTAATCTGACCCAGTTTTGGAGTCTCCATGGCTGCTTTGAACTAACCTAATACACAACACAAGGCACACACACAGAGAGCAGATGATATCAAATATGCTTGAGTTGCCACTGTTTTGTAAGAATGGATGCAGTGTTGTGATTTTGTCCACTGTTAAGATGTTTGTAAATTTTGAGAAAAGGCAGCTTTTGATACAAGCACAATTACATGTCCTGCTTACAGGTCGGTAGTGTAGGTGATGAACAGCCATCATCAATGTATAATGGGGGTTCGCTTGTGAAACTGAATGCTAAAGGTAGTCAGAAGAGTTTCCATTTTTATTTGTGAATTGTTGCAGGATACTCTTTTACAGTAAGAGTAGTACAGCAGTGGAATCGGCTGCCTAGGGAGGTGGTGAACTCCCCCTTACCGGCAGTCTTCAAGCTGCCAAAACAAACACTTGTCAGGGGTGCTTTAGACTGATCCTGCATGGAGCAGGGGGTTGGACTAGATGGCCCCTTCCAACTCTATGATTCTATATAGCAAACACATCTCTGAGATATTTAAAAAAACAGGCTTGTGATTTGTCTGAAACATCTAATCCAAAAGACTGGCAAACTAGTCTGACAAGGGTTATTGGCAATTCTGTAATCCACACAGCACAGCCATTGAAATCGGACTTACAAAGCCCTCAGAGCACGTTTCTCTGCTTGTGACCAGCTACTCTCCAAAACTGTCCTGGAAGGTCCTGCTCAAAATTACACATATATGCACAGCAAGACTCATTACTCAACCAGACCTCCCTCAGGGTAACTTTGCCATTATTTAGAAAACATTGCAAAATGGTGCTTCAGAGGGGCGTTGAAGGCTGCACTTACCAAATATACTGTGTTTCCCAAGATTTATGAGACTGGAGTGGAGTGCACAAGAGTAAGTATCTACTGAGGAAGACTGGTGCCCAAGGGGAATAGCACTTAACCCACCTCAAGAGTCCTCCCTGCAAAGTTTCACCTCCCACCATGGCTTCTCCACAGCTGGGTGCACTCCTAAAGTTGGAGCCCAGCTGGGGGGACGGTTAAAAATCTGAGCAGGGGGACTTGCAGGGAAGCGTCGGCAGGCGAGGGAAGGGGTAATTGTCTTTCTTACCAGCCACTCATTTCCCCCCTTTCCCTTCAAGTGTTCTCTCTCCCTCAGTTCTCCTCCCGGGTCTCCTTTGCAATTAGTTCAGCTTTCCAGTTTGTTACTGACTGCTATCTTGGTGCATGTAACAGATTATGGTTTATATTCTGTTTCAAGATTGTTTTATGGAGTTTGGTTCTCATTCTACTCAATAAACTGGTGACAGGGTGTTAGACTGCACGCTTTGTCCAATCTCTGCCACCTCAGTAAAGGCTTGCAGGTAGCCGGGGTGGGGAAAGACCCTTCTGTGCTGGACAGCCCCTGCCAAAGTAGAAAAGTAGTGAGCTGGAGGGACCAGTGCCTTGACTTCTTATAAGGTAGCTTCATTTGATGCCTTATTAAAAAGAAGGAAGGCACCCATTTTATTTGCACAGTTTTCATTTTGATCATTTAAAAACTGTTCTTTACTTCTGCAACTTTTCTGCTCTCCTTTCCCATGCTTTCGTCTCCAGTCAAGCTTTGGTGTTTTTCCCTTGGTTTCCCTAGGCCTGTGCTTCCTGTAGTTTTCCCATTTTATGCCCTTTTGCCTGACTTTCCTGTCTTTATGATCTGAGCCATTCCCAGCCACAGGCAGTCAAAGACCCTCCTCTAACATTACAGCTGCTTGGCTAGCTACAGGCGATCTCCACCACCACTTTATGCACTATTCATCGCCACTCTTTATGCATTTCTTAACTGATGAGGTCCTTTTGCTGCCTCCTCCTCCTGTACTTTGGTCCCTGATTTTTCTCTACCATTCCTGAACGTCAGTCTTGGCTTTTTACTGCCTACAGTGATTCCAAGAGTCAACTCTACTGACCCAACCATGACTCAGGAAGGCTCTTGCCTTTCAGACAGACTCCTAAGGAACACCTTCAAGTTCATCAGCATATTGCATGCCTAGATTTCACAACCCTTTTTTCATTTTCACAATTTGGCACAGAGATAGGGAGAGACAGTTCATGCAGAATTAATTTGATTTCGACACTGTGATTACTGGAAACATTAAACTAACAAGGGCAGGCAGATAGAACTTGCTTTCTTAATTTTAGGGGCCTGTGGCTCATCATTAAAACAACTTACAGTTCACATAAATCAGCATGTATTTGGTGGAGATCTGCCGTAATCCATTCACATTTGCCATGCAGAAGAGAGAGCCTGCGAGGGATGGCTGAGGGCGGTGGATTGTGAACCCTTTCTTCACATCAAAGGAGATGTCTATCCCATCCACAGCAACTTTCTCCGGTGGAAATTCCCGGTGCAATGTAACTTTGGCAAGCGGGTTGGTCACCTGGCAGGGCAGAAGGGTGGGGTGGTTGGTGCGCAGTTGTATCACTTCGTAGTAATCTTCTGTGGGCACAAATAGCTCCTGTGGGTCTGAGGAGAGAGTACAAAAGGGACACAAAGAGATAGCTCCTCCTTCGGTATCAGAGCAGGTGTGCAAAAATGTTGTCATCTGTAGCCTCTTTATACGAAAGGGACACAAAGAGATAGCTCCTCCTTCAGTATCAGAGCAGGTGTGCAAAAATATTGTCCTCTGTAGCCTCTTTATACAAAGTTGGTGCCTGTGTCATTCTCCTGGGTTTATTCATCAGGAGCCAACATTCCCTTTTTTCTAGGGACAAAGGTTGTGCAGAATGAGCCCTACAAACAAACGCTTGTACATGCATGGGACCTTTATTCACCTTCAAGTACGTGGGCCTCTGTCTGTCTCCATTACTGGGAGCCCTGCTTTTGCAGGCCATCCTTCACAATGGAGAAGTGTCACGTTGTCATGGGTCTGCCCACGACTTACATGCATGGCATCTTTACACACCTTCAAGGGCATGTGCTTATTTTCAAGAGCAGAGCCCGCTGCTACAATGCTGCTCCCCCTCCTCCTTGCACATGATCAATATCCATGCAGCATATATATCCCAAAATATTCACAGCTGTTGGCACCCAATGAAGCTGACAGACACTAGAGTCAGAGCCGTCGTCCTTGCACATGATCAATATCCATGCAGCACATATCCCCAAATATTCACAGCTCTTGGCACCCAATGAAGCTGATGGACACTAGATTCAGAGCAGTCAAAAGGAAATACTTCTTCACACAGCATGTAACTAATTTCAGAACTCACCACCACAGGACATAGTGATAGTCAGTAGCCTAGATGGCTTTAAAAGGGGAATGGACAGTTACATGGAGGAATTGGCTGTTAGCCTTGAAGGCCAAATGGGACTTTAATGTGGGGCCTCAATGGCCCAGGCGAGCCTGATCTTATCAGCGCTCAGAAAACTAAGCAGAGTCAGCCCTGGTTAGTGCTTGGATGGGAGACCACCAAGGAAATTCAGGGTTGCAATTCAGAGGCAGGCTGAGGTAAGGCTTGTACCTTTTGACTGACCTCTGAACATCTCTTGCCTTGAAAACCCCACAGGGTTGTCATCTTGTGACTGACCCAAGGTCACATCAGCAGGTGCAAGTGGAGGAGTGGGGAATCAAACCCAGTTCTCCCAGATTAGAGTCTGCACACTTAACCACTACACCAAACTGGCTCTCTCAGGACTTAAGGCAGGTCCCACGTCTGGTTAACCACTATGGGAGACAGGATGCTGGACTAAGTGGACAGAGCTAGCCAAACAAGGTATTAAATGCAGAAAAGCCTGACCTGTGAAGAAGATGAATGTTTTGCCCATTCGGTTCTCCCCGTCACGACACTCACTATCCAGGCACTGCAAGGACCAACAGCTATACTCGCCGGTGTCTGCAGCAGTGGAGTTGACAACAACGAGCTGACTGTGCCTTTCAAAGTCCTTGATCCTGAAAGAGAGGGCACAAGGTTTCCCTTGCAAGGTTTTCAGGAAAGAGGGACTGTTTGCTTGTGTCCATTAGTCAAGTTGTGCTTATTTCATTTGCAATCATGCTTGTGTGAGTCAGCTAGAAAGACAAATAAGAGGCCTGCACACAGGGACGGCTCGAGGTGTTTCTGCGCCCTAGGCGAGGCTGCCTTGTGGCGCAGATGCCAACCTCCCGGTGGGGCCTGCAGACCTCTGGAGCCAGCCACCCATTTGCTACCACCGCCACCGCCTCCCCCCGCAGCTGTCAGACCAACGAGCACACCCCACATGTTCCTGCAGCGCCCTCCAAGATGGAAGAGAGATTTCTCTCGTGCTCCGCTTCCGAAGGCAGTTTGGGAGGGAGGTGGGGGGATCCTGTCTCCAGGCGGGGGATGCTCACCGGATGCCTCTCCCCAATTAGCGAAGTGCTGACACTTGGAGAGCTCCTTGCGGGCTTTTGGCGGGGGGGAGGCACAGCTCGGCGCCCTATCCAGGGCCCAGCACTCTAGGCGAATGCCTAGTTCGCCTAGTGGGTGAGCCGGCCCTGCCTGTACAGAGGTTTGAGTGAGACATGACATTCTCCAAGATTAAAATGGCATTTCTGCCATTCTTCTGACCAGAGTCTTGGGAACTCATCTCCAGTCTAAGAGAATCCCCAGTTCTACAAGATGATTGGCAACCTTAGTTAAGTGGCTTTCATGCAACCTTTTACCAGGACAGCCTGTGATTAAAAACCATGCAACAAAAAAATGAAAATATCAGTAGGATACAGTCAACTCTCACCGGAGACGCCTCTCATCATCTTCCTCAAGGTAGACGGGGTATCTCCATTTGACAGCTTTTCCTTTGCAGCGCAGGTCCAGGGTTTGCCCCGCTCTTAGCACCAAGGACTCAGCCACTTTCTGGAATTGCCCCTTTGCCACCATACGAGTCAGAATGGATGTAGACTGCCGTCCTTGACTGGAAGCAATAGTGGGCTTGACTCGACCTTTCTTCTCAAGTAGCTTCAGTGTTCCCTGTTTTACCTTTTGACTAGTCGCTTTGGAAAGTTTGGCCTCTCTGGGTTTTGACTCCTTCATGAATTTCTTCTCTATCGCTTTGGAAGGCTTTTCTTTTTGGCATGCAGCTATGAAGATAAATGTTGACATAGTATCATAGCAATAGCATGCACGTTCACCTTTCCTGATTTACATCTTAAGAAGGGGGGTTACATATTAGTAAGCCACACAGAACTCCATAGGATTTATTTCCCCATAAACATTTGTAGAATCAGGCTATTCATTTGTTTATGCCTGCTGGGCCCCACCGCTGTCAGACATACTCAGCAGGAGATGCCTGAGCCATGTTTTCCTTTTAATTGATTCCATATTCTTCAGATAGCCAGTAACGCTGGAATATACATGCATAAAGATATTCTAACCATTTTTATCTATCCAAGGAAAATATTTTAAAGGCTGTGCATTTGTAGTTGGTTCAGTTAAAAACCAAACTGAACCTTCCTTGGATTTTGCAATGAGGCTTCCTAATACCTAATATATAATACTGCTGATTTTGCAAAACATTGTGATTTAATCATCACCTTAATTTTCCACTTGAAGGAGTTGATTTCTGCCACTCAGGTAATGTTTTCTGCTACATTAAAAATGGGGGGGAAGGAATAATTTTGGCAATAATGCTTTTTGTTGAGCAATCCCCTCAATCTTTATGTTCAAAAACCTCTGGTACAGATTTTGCTTTTGCTTTTGAAGCTCCAGTGAGTCCACAAATTTGCTGAGTGACATTCTTTTGCCTCATCCTTCCCCAAATTAATTGTTTTCCTAGTTTTTGACCTAAATCTGCTGGGACTTTGTTGGAATACTGGTCCATGTTTCCCAGTTTGCTATCTCCACCGCTAGATTCCCTAGGCTCCCAATGTACAACAGGGAACGAGTGGCTTGGTTTTCCTTGAGAGGAAAAGCACAAAGCACATTGCTAGGGAAGGAGAAGGAAGAGAGAATGAAATGAAATGAGACTTACCAAAGACAAAGAGAAGAAGGCAGCTGCTCAAAACGACCATTAGCTTGGAATTCATACTGGGACAATCCAGAAGCAAAATGTGTGTCTCTCTGCAGCCAGTTCACAGGGTGCAAAGGGCTACTTCATCTGCTGCTTTTTTAGGTTGGAAGAAATTTCACACTAATTTGTTGGGGGGGGTGGAATGGGAGGGGTAGTAAAGGGAATTCAGGCTATTTCAAAGCAAATGCTTGACTTGCCTCTTTAAACAAAATCCCTTTCACACATGAATGCCACAAGAGTTCAGGATCCTACAGGGGAGGTGAATAGGGCTATTCAGTCCTGCACTCTGTCAGATGCGCTCCAAAAACAACAATTTCCAATTACAAAATATCCTAGCTGCGTTCTCTTCAGATACATTCCAGAGAAAGCAGCAGGGAGCAAAGCAAGTTGCTTCTTAGGTTTCATGGAAGGAGCTCGGGCCAGAATGGCTATTATTTTCTCTGCTATTTCTTGACTGACTGACGCTGCAAATGCTGACAAGTCCCTCTGCGTACAAACATGAGTCCTTGGAGAAAAGATGACACACAAATATAATGAATAAAAACATACAAAAAGATACTTATTTTATTTTTTGTTTGTATTCCACTTTTCTCCCTAATTGGGACCCAAAGTGTATCTTATGCTTACAACAACAACCACTTTGTGAGAGCCGGTTTGGTGTAGTGGTTAAGAGCGCGGGACTCTAATCTGGAGAGCTGATTTGGTTCCCCATTCCTCCACACAAAACCAGCTGGGCGACCTTGAGTCAGTCACAGTTCTCTCAGTCTCAGAACTCTCTCAGCCCAAAAAACAAGCTCACTACCTAGCGGTGTATAACACAAAAAGAGCTAGAACTTTTGGCTGCCAGACAATCTTAGGATCTCCTTGCTATACTATACACACTGCCATATGATAATTATTATTATTAACCACCTTGTGAAGTAGGTTAAGCTGGAAGTTTATGATGGCCCCAACCTTGGGTGCGGCACACTTCCATGGCAAAGTGAACCCATTCTAACCACCATTTCACCTCAGCTCTCAGGAGGACAAAAGGGAGAACAGGAGGTATATACTAGATGCATATCATATACCAGGTCCTTCTATGTACTGGACACATTCCCTGTATGTAGCTAGTGTAGTCCATAGTTTAGTTCCTTAACTATTTTTAATACGTTCATATATATATATAGCACTTTCAATAAATATTTTCCCCCGCCCAAGAGGGTTAACTAATAAAGCAAGACAACTGAACACAATAAAAACAGCAGCATAAAGGCATAATACCGAGACTAAAGTAGCATATGTTACTAAAATAAAACCAGCAGCACTTAAAACCACCCTCAAAGTAATAAGCATGAGAACAAGAAGCAGTAGAAGAATAGCACTATAGCTGTTTAGTTAGCAAAGAATATATAGTGCTAGTTGTATAAATAGCTTGGTAGTGCTTAGTGGTGGCTCAAGTGGTTAAGACGTTGAACTGCAGGCTGTGGAAGGTCGGTAGTTCAGCAGTTCGAGACCTGAGTGTGCCGCATGACGGAGTGAGCTCCCGTCTCTAGCTCCAGCTCCTGCCAACCTAGCAGTTCGAAAGCAAGAAATTGCAAGAAGATAAATAGGTACCACTTCAGTGGGAAGGTAACAGCATTCCGTGCGCCTTGGTGTTTAGTCATGCCAGCCACATGACCACAGAAATGTCTTCAGACAGCGCTGGCTCTTCGGCTTTGAAACGGAGATGAGCACCGCAACCTTAGAGTCGGATTCGACTGGCTTTCGAGCAAGGAAACCTTTACCTTTGCCTTTTTAGTGCTTAGCAGCTGATCAATGCTAAACGGTTATTTATATACATTACAGTTAATTTGAATTACTTTGGCACATATCTTTTTGACAGGGAGTGGGTGGGGTGCTCAGAATATAGATGATGAGATCCTTCGCTGGGAACCCATCGTTTCTGAAATCAAGTGGGTGGCTATAAGTGGACGTCCTTGGTGCCCTAACTTTGGAACCCCTTCTCCATGGAGATTTGCCTGGCATCATATGATTGCTACTGAAAAAATAACTGCTGAATAGGTTTTTGTGACTTATATTTTTATGCCATCACTTGTTGCTGCATGGTATCTACATATTTTAAATTATTGCTAATTAAAAATTATGAATAATTCTGTGCTGCTGCTTTTTACACGTTTTACATTTTTAAATATGTGATTTCAAACTTTGCAAGCTGACTAGAGCATTTTTTTAAAGTGGATAGAATAGAAGCATTATGAATGAAATTAATATACATAGCTATGACTATTCAGTCTTATAGTAGAATGTAAAAACATGTCACCTACTGGTTTGCCTACCTGACCACAAATGGAAGCTTCTAGTACACAGCTCAGAGCTTAAACGTTTATTAGCACCCCTCCCACTTTTAAACAAATTCTTCAACAAGCATTGTATTGTCATATGGTGGACTACATGCATACACACACTGATATACCAACCTATGATGATGATACATGTGGCGATCCAAGGTAAATATCTGTACAGGTGAAAAACAAGAGACTTACAGAACAATCCTAAACAGAGCTGTACTCTTCTAATTCCACTGAAGCCAATGGAATTATAAGGGTATAACTCTGTCTAGGATTGCACTGTAAATTAAACAGGCAGTGGCATGTCACATCTTCCCCCTGCAATTTTTTTTTAGAAGAAAGTTGATACTGCTAAGGCAAATGAAACAACACTGGTACCTGAAAATGCAGCTTGAACTCTTGGAATGATAAACAAACTGTACTTCATTTATTGAATACAAAATGCTCTCTTTATTTTTTTAACAAGTGAAATGAATTGGGAAATGTATGTTTTGTAACAGATAATAATCTAATAAACATTTTCATTATGACATCATTCTCACTTTTTTACCAAGAGAACTTACATACAAACACTTCTAGCAAACGCTTCAAATTTCAGCAAGATCTGAGTGCTTTTAGAATACATGCACATTGCACATATACTTGGATAATGCACAGGGGCCCCTGGGCAAAAAATCTTGCCCTTGTGGCATCAGTTATCTTTACACTAGTCAGCTGTCCAGGGCTGTTGTCTAGTTTACATGCTTCCCCTAAAAGAGGGAGCCAACATTCACACCACTCTCAAAACAATTCCTTGAATGTCTGGATTTTGAACTACTTGTTTTGAACCACTTTACGGGTTCCAGTTTGAAATCGAGACAACTGAGAAATTTTAGGCTCAGGTTCAGTTGCCATTCACTATTGTCACTATTGTGGCATAACATTTGCTATGCCACCCATGCTAATTCTTCTAGTCTGTCCTAAGTGTCCGTATTTAGCACAGGAATTGGTTCACTCCCTGCAGGGCTGTCCAGCTGCTGGTAGATTATAAAATAATTAATTTGGATGTTCTTTAAATGCATCTATGGTCTACCTTGCTTATCTAGTCTACACTCCTGTTTCCTTTAGTAGCCGACAGATGCCCCAGAAGCCAACAAGCCGGGCACGAAAGTAATGACCAGCCCTTTTCACTTGTCTCCAGTATTTATTTATTTATTTTCATTTATACCCCGCCCTCCCCGCACACGGGCTCAGGGCGGCTTACATAGGCACCACAGTGCAATAAAATACAACAAGATTAAAACAATGTAGGCACCCAAGGTGCGATAAAATTACACAGTTAACCACTTAAAACAAAATTCAATCTTACAGGATGCATCGGTGATTAAAATACTCACTCATTATTATATATCACAGTGAGGTCAGAAGAAGGGGAGGCGTGCCATGGGCCAAGATGTTCCGGATGGCTAATCAGCCCACCCCGACGGCACTGCTCTGCAGTGCACGATGGTGGTAATAGTGGCAGCGGCAGCTCCCACCCAAAAGCCTGGCAGAAGAGCTCCATCTTGCAGGCCCTGCGGAACTGTAAAAGGTCCCGCAGGGCCCTGATTTCCTCCGGGAGCTCATTCCACCAGGTAGGAGCCGCCACCGAAACGGACCTGGCCCTTGTGGCAGCAAGCCTGGCCTCTTTAGGTCCCGGGGTCACTAGGCGGTGTTGTGACTTCAACCGAAGTGATCTTTGGGGCCTGTATGGGGAAAGGCGGTCCCTCAGGTATGCCAGTATCTGGTATTCAAAGCTATAGTGCCTTCAAACATCCTGGCTAATAGTAGTTGATAGACCACTCTGCCATGCATCTCTTTCAGCCTTTAAAAAACCCATTCCAGTTAAGGGTTGTGGCTACACAATATTTAGCATTAACACCAGGCATTTCAAGTGTTAAAACAATTATTTCAGTGATTCATACAACAGCCCTGCAAGGTGGGCCACTATGATTACTATTATTTTTGTATTGCATTGACTGAAGCTTGTGACTTACCACATGGTACCCAGTGAGTCTGGGGATGAGGTGAAGTTTGAACTACTGCTTACATTTTGACCCACTATGCAACACCAACTCATTCAGTGGCTGTGAATTTCACAAGTCAGTTTACCAGCTGCACTTAATTATTTGTTTAGTAGTCAAGAATTTTTTACTATAAATAAGTACAGACACACATATATTGAAAGTTCAGGGGAATCAGTCCTGCCAGCCAGACTGTTCTTATGAAGTCCTTCCGTCAGTGAGAATCAATAGGTCCACATCACGGTTCCCTTAAAGTTATTTTTTGCAAGTGACTGCTTGAATCTGTATCACTTCTTTCATGTTTTGTCATCTGTAGGGACAGGTCCTTATCCCTGTGTCTCTCTGCGCTATGCCGGATCCCATAGCCAAAGTAAATTAGGAGGCCTGAAACACGTAGCAAAACAATAAATAACTTCTTTATCCTTTCACAACCCAAAATGCACAGAAATACGCCTCACCCAACATTCCAGTAATATAAGCAAAGCTATTTCAGATACAGTCAAAATACACTCCATTAAATTTAGTCTAGATTTTGGTTCCTGGGCCAAATGATCTTCTTTCCTTCATGACCATTTTTCAGGTGCAAATACCTACAAGTTCTCATGGCTTGCTGTTCATTACTCCTGTTCTGTACTGATTCATGCACGCATATATATCACTTGATTTCTTTGTATTTCGTTACTATGCCCTTACTGAACAGCAGTTGAATGTTTGGATAGACATATTTGAAAAGCACTGTCACTGAGACAATACAATATTATCATATATGACATTTCTGGTTGTGTAGTCAATCACCACCTTACATGCACTCAATATTTATTTGTACATTTGTATACCACACCACGTTGATCCTAAAAATATCCTTCATACAGTATTGCTGCAGTCATGTGAGGAGCATGCATGTCTGTACTATCTTCACTTTTCAGAACTCTTGCAGAAAGCAGTGTGTACACTGGAGACATGATCTACTTGAACCACTTCACAACTCAAATAGCTGGGGAAAGCCACAGGAGGGTCTTTCTGTCAAAGGCCCGTACAGGATCATCCGATCCTTTTAATGAGAATTAATCAGCCCTAATGAGCTAACCAACATCTACCACTGCTTTACTGGGAATTCAGATGACACTAATGTTACAAGTCATCATTACTTTTTCCAGTTTATGCCTCTGTAAAACGTCTGTCTTCACACCCATATTCTTACCAAAGACTTACCAAGAGCCATCCACACCAGGTACCTAAGCCAAGTGTCACCACTGAGCTGGGCCATTAGGCAGCTATTGACAAGGACACTGAGGATGGGCAAGAATGGCAGACAGGGGACCTGGAAGTTAACACAGAAATATTGAGAGGTTAGACCTCAGGAGCACAAAAGACGCATTGGCCCTAGGCACATTAGGTGCCAATAAAGAGGGCCCTAGCACCATGTGCCATCCACTTTTCCGAAAATTTTCCTCATGAACAAGAAACTTGGAATGCATGATCAACATCAGAATGAACAACATTAGAATATTATTTAAAAAAACAATGCAAGTCTAAAGTATAAAATATATAAATTTAATAAATAAATAAATACGGCTTGGCTTTTAATTAGCTGCGTCTGGTTTATGTGGGTTGCCTTCTAGGTTTATTTGGATTATATTTTTAAACTGAGATTTGTTAATATTTTAACTGTTGTTAGCTGCCTCAAGACCACCTGACGGCGGGAGGCAGCATGTAAATGTAATAAATAAATAAATAAAGCCTCCGATTGCCAAGTTTTGTGATACACACTTATGGAGAGGGGGCTGTGGCTCAGTGGTAGAGCATCTGATTTGCATGCAGAAAGCTCTAGGTTCAATACCCAGCCTCTCCAGTTAAAGGGATCAGGAAGAAGGTGATGTGAAAGACCTCTACCTGAGATCCTAGAGTGCCATGGCTAGTCTGAGTAGACAGTTCTGACCTTGATGGACCAAGGGTCTGATTCAGTATAAGGCAGCTTCATGTGTTCAGAAGGACCATCTCCAAGTTTTCAAAACAAACAGTTAAAGGACATGATGTGAACCTACAGATGTATGCCATTTTAGCAGTGAGCTAGCACCATCTTTTGGGCATGCATTACCATCTCCCCCCCCCCCCGCTCAAGAATAACCAGTTCTTTTGTTTTAGGAATGTGCATGGGAAAGACTGACATGATAGCTGACCAATGGCAAACTCACCTCTGCTCTTTTTAAAAATAAAAAAGATTAAGATTGTTTTTCTAAGCATTGAAAAAATACTTAAGCAGGTGAGCTTACTAGTCACACTTGGCAACCCCCACCCATTGCAGGCAACCTTGCACGAAACATAGAGGGACAACTAAAAAAAGACAGTCTGCCTTTCACTTGGATGCTATGTGTGTCAGGAGAGGCTCACCCCTCAGCAGAAAGTTCAAAGGCATGTATGTGCACAGCCTTAGAAGATGTATATTTTTCTGCCTCCACATCATCAATGATGATCTGGCTTGCTGAAAAGAGTGACAAGTTCCTTACTTACCATGAAAGCTGCATTCTTCTGACTCTGAGGCTGCCTCCAGATGATTAGCGATGCCACAAGAATCCCCAGGAGGAGGAGAACAAGGCAGGCAATGAACCAGGCACTCCCAGATAACAAGCATGGTAGTCCTACTGTGGTTACCACACTGACAAGGAAGATTAGGACAGCTAGAGAGAAAATGGCCTATTTAAAAGCATGCTGGGGGATAAAGGGCGAAAGCATTCTCCCTCACACACAAGGCCAACTACGGTATATATACCCAAATTAGGGTTACCAAACCCCCCCCGGGGGGCGGAATTCCGCGCCATTTGACGGGAAAACAAAGAGTTTTCCCCTCAAACGGCAGCCATTTGAGGGGAAAACTCTTTGTTTTCTCCTCAAATGGCGTGGCCCCGCTCCAGCGTCTGACGTCACTTCTGGTGACGTTCTGGCGGTGCGCGGCGCTTCGCGCGCGCACATCCCGGACCGGCTCCCGGACCTACAGGACTCTCCCCCGCCGGTAGGAATTTTCGAGTTGGCAACCCTAACCCAAATGTACTTCAGAAAATGACTAATCCAAAAGGCAAAGTCTATGTTGCTCAGTTAATTCTATGAGCTGATTCTTCCTGTCTGTTTCTCCATTCATTTAGTAAAATATTTTTAATGTACTGTACGAGATCTCCATCTTTTTTGCTCCTTCATATCCTCTTAAACACTAGAAGATGAAGAAGAGTTGGTTTTTATACCTCACTTTCCTCTACCATAGTCTTAAAGTGGCTTACAGTCACCTTCCCTTCCACTCCCCAACAGACATCCTGTGAGGAAGGTGGGGCTGAGAGGGTTCTGAGAGAACAATGACTGGCCCAAGGTCTCCCAGTAGGCCTCATGTGGAGGAGGAGTGGGGAATCAGTCCCAGTTCTTCAGATTAGAGTCCACTGCTCTTAACCACTACACTACACTGGCACTATAGTTGATATCAGGGCTTTTTTTGTAGAAAAAGCCCAGCAGGAACTCATTAGCATAATTGGCCACACCCAACAGCTGAAACTCATCAACATATTAGGCCACACCCCTGATGTCACAGGTCATTAGCATATGAGGCCACACCCCCATGTTACCAGAAGTGTGCTCATCCAGCCACACCCACCTTTTGCTTCTTATTCTGTTTACCTTGTTTGTTGTCAAAACCCAGGGCTTTTTTGTAGCAGGAACTCCTTTGCATGTTAGGCCACACACCCCTAACGTAGCCAATCCTAATGAGTTTCTGCTGTTGGGTGTGGCCTATTATGCTAATGCGTTCCTGCTGGGCGTGGCCAACTCAGGAGCCAGCCGGAACTCCGTTCCTGTGTGTTCCTGCCCAAAAATAGCCCTGGTTGATATGGGAGATGAGGTTCCTATTCCAGTACTCACCAAGCAGAGAGACAGTGCGGGACACCAGACGGGAGGAGTGCTGGGATGGAATGATATCTGGGTGAATTAAGAGGTCTACCCAGAGCATTCTGCGTGGCCTCTTCTTTTCTGCGGAGCCTAAAGAGCTGGGCTCAGGCTGGTACCTGCAAAAAACAATGGTCCCAAAGCATAATTTGGTATCATCTTTCTGTCTAGTTATTGGCTGAGACCGGCATCTCTGGCTGACAACAGAAAGGGCCTTGCTGTGCAATGCTAGGAAGGCTGCCCAGCTTGGAGGGATGGAGGGAACATGTAGAGATGTCAAAAACCTGGGAGACATTGCCTAATATGGTCAAATTTTGATCATACATAAGGACACAAAATGCTGCACCTATGTTACCTAGGGTTACCAGCCTCAAGGTGTGGCCTGGAGTTGTCCCAGAACTATTTCCAGACTTAAAGAAATGAATTCCCATGGATAAAATGGCAGTTTCAGAGGGCAGACTGTACATGGCATCACATTCCAACTGAGCTCTCTCCCCTGCCCAAACTCCACCCTCCCTAGGCACCACCTCCAAATCTTCAGGAAAGGAATTCCCAAGTAAAAATTGCAAACCCTAAGCTCTGTTAGGTGGTCCTGTGTTGTTATACCCGGAGGCAGCGGGCTGACAGATGGAAGTGGCTTGACTGCTACTTAAGGTAAGATAAAGCTAATAAGGCCCACACAGATGGAATCGCATTTCCACAAAGCTTTATTGCTACAAGCCTCTGTTTCTGGAACAGGAAGTTAACTAGAGAGTTCCATAAAGGCAGGGAAGAAAGTAGCAAGCTCCTAACTAACTAGCATGGTCAATTATAGTACTGCTTTCAGGGCTTTTTTTGTAGAAAAAGCCCACCAGGAACTCATTAGCATAATAGGCCACACCCAATAGCAGGAATTCATTAGCACATTGGGCCACACCCCTGACAGCACCACTCATTAGCATATTAGGCCACACCCACACATTACCAGAAGTGTACTCATCCAGCCACACCCACCTTTTGCTTCTTATTCTGTTGATGTTGTTTGTTGTCAAAACCCAGGGCTTTTTTTGGAGCAGGAACTCCTTTGCATGTTAGGCCACACACCCCTAAAATAGCCAGTCCGAATGAGTTTCTGTTGTTGGGTGTGGCCTGTTATGCTAATGAGTTCCTGCTGGGCGTGGCCAACTCAGGAGCCAGTCCGAACTCCGTTCCTGTGCGTTCCTGCCCAAAAATAGCCCTGCTGCTTATAAATAAGACATTCACTACCTTTCAGACATTTCAGACATTACGTTCCTGCTGCTGTGACTAGGGTGTGCATTTGGGATAAACCGAATTGAATAAATAGCAGAAAAATACCTTATCAGTATTTTTCAGGTATTTATTCAGCTGAATACAGATTCTCTACGATCTCTTTAAATGCCTTCTGAGTTCACTTGCTGAGTCGCGCTGCCACCATGGTGGCGGTGGCATGGGCCAGCTTGGAGAAGACATTTAATAGGTATCTTTAAATGCCTTCTCCAAGCTGGCCTGTGCCCCCGCCACCACAGCAGTGGTGGAACAACTCGGCAAGTGAACTGAGTCAGAAGGCGTTTAAAGAGACCACAGTCTCTTTAAATGCCTGTTCCCCTCCATTGAAAGCAATGGAGAATGGGGGCACCTTTTTGGGGGGACCCATAGAATTGGACCACCTGGTCCAATACTTTGAAAAATTGGGGGGGGGGGTTGAGGAGAGCCACCAGCAATTATGCTGTGAATCTGGTGCCTCTACCTCAAAAAAACAGCCCCCCTGAGCCCCAAATACCCCCAGATTGATTCTCCAGTATACCCTATGGGAACCGTCCCCATATAGGGTATAATGGAACTGAATAAATTTGGGTTTCCTGAATATTTACCCGAATCCCAATACCATACCAATATTAGGATTTGGGAATATCTGGAAACACTGGTGGGTTTTTTTCCGGGTCCAATAGACCTAAATCCAGGGGGGAAAGTCCAATTTTTTTCCTGCACACCCCTACAGAATGAACATGCTACATACAATCTTTTCATCTGAAAAGGGCAACATGTGGATTTTCCACCTTAGTACACCATAACAGACCTCAGACTGATTGAGTCTGGTACATGTGTTTTGCGGCTGGAATATACGTGCATTGCCCCTTTCAGAAGAAATGGCAAATGCACTTATCAGAAGGATTGCCTCTATGATGTTTGTAACCATAGGTGCGATGCCTGGTCTAATGCCTGGTATGTGGTGGTATGACATGATCAAAATAGACTGTACCACTTCAGACTGTAGGTGAGGAGGTTCACACTTTAATGCTCCATCATGTAAAAACCTCCCACAGTTGGGAAGGGGGAGTATATAAGAGGTTCTAATCTAGCTCTTTGCATAGTGGGCTAGTTTTCTACGTGGAATAATTTATTTTGGGTAACTCTGAAAAACTTAATCCCTCCCCTACAAGTATTCTACCCCAAGTACTCTGCCATCTGCTTACCATCTCATTCTGCTGCATGTCTAGGCCAAGCCTAACAGTGGGTTCATGGCAGAGGCAAGTTTGATCTGTGGCGTTTCCAAATCTCTGCTTACGTCTCTACTATACTCTTTAAAGAAAGTTTTCTGCAGGGGAGAATTTGGGATACACAATTTAGATTTATAAAAGCAACAGCTGGGAAGCACCTTCATTAGGATTAGCTGAATTATCATAAAGTACTAAGAAAGTTTTAAAGTACTGTTAATATTACACTGTGCTATTATTATCTGGATGATGTACCAACATGGCTACCCTCTATTTCCATCTGCTTTGACGTTTGCAGTTAGAAGATTTCTGTTATAAGACATTGTTTCTCATTAACGTGAGTGTTGCCTCAGTGGCCACTTAAGTGGGAACTCACCCCCCATCAGCAGACAATTACCTGAGGAGCAGAACACAGATACCAACTAGTGTATAGGCGAGCAGTGTCCCAATCGACATCATGTCAACTAAGGCCTTCAGATCAAAAAGGAAAGCCATCGTAGCTGTGAAGACAAGAAAGACAGTGTATTGCAAACATAGGCAATAATCTTTTTTTCTACTCATGCCTTAAAGTCTCTATAGGGAGACAATTTC